CTACACGACGCTCTTCCATCTAGCTTCCCAGCTCCACACTGTGTTAACCTAAAGCAAAACTGTCAGGAAAAGCATTTTCAGAGAAATGAAGAAAGCAAAAAAAATCATTCTTTCAATTAAAGGAATATTCCATAATGAATGTTTCATTTATGAACTCTCAAAACGACTTACAAGTTTTCCTAATAACGAATTTAGCTTCACTTCACCAAAGGTGGACTCCGAATGAGTGTCTGATAGCAGTTCAGATCATTAAAATATTAATAGTGAGAGACATGGTAATTAAGGCAGAGAATCAGGGGGATGGACAAAGTGTACATTCCTCCCTATCCTATACATGGTACAACGTCAATGGTAGTATGTTTGTTGCCTAATTACAAAAAATAGGCTCAAGAAATTCAGACAAAGGGTAAGGAAAAGGGGGTATTCTTCTGCACTTGAAAGTAGATAACCTAATCTATTGAATATAAAGCAAATTGGTTTTGTAAAATTATTGTAATAATGAAGAATCATATTTGAACACTTTCAGTATCAACAGCTACTTTAAAAAATGTGGGACATTTTCATTTGTTTATGAAGTAACTACTCAAAATAATTTAGAATAGAGAATACTTTCAAAGACTGACTTTCCTCTTGTGTGTGGAGATAATTAATTTCCTGGATGTAAAGTACAGCAAAAAGTAGCAGAAACTCATGATTCAGAATCTTTGCATCTTTGTTTTGCACTTCTACTTTCTGCTAATTTTCAACAATTTCTATTTCTATTAAATATGATTGTTTTGGATCCATTGAAGAACTGACACTACCTCATACTTTGCACAATTTGGGTAGGTTATCAAATCTACTGAGGCACTATAAGTATATTATTAGGCTTGAAGTAACAAAATATCATTATTTTCTCAGGTTGGTAAATTTAAAATCAATATAAGGCATTATAAAGCAGATTACTGCAATCAGCTTAAATTCTATCAAATATAATACAGGTAAATAAAATAAAATTATAAAATACCACTCCAGAAATTGCTAATAACTACTGTAAGGGAAGTAAATCACTACCCAAGATTTCATTTTATTTGGACAACAGATGTGATTCAAGCTATTTACCTGTATTCCAATGGTTGTTGTTGCTGTTGCTGTTGTGGTGGTGGTGGTGGTGGTGGCGGCGGGGTTGCAGCACCACCGTTTACAATAGTTGATGGCGGAGGTGGTGGAGGTTGTTGAGGCCTGTTCAGAGTACCATGTCTGAATCCTGTTGCAGAGGATTTGTAGTCATGTTCCTGGACCTGATTACCAGTACACATTTGCTGCTGATTATCACCGGTCATGTATGTAACTGGCATCTGCTGCTGTTGCTGCTGCAGTGAATGTTGAACATGGTTGGGGGTAACAGGATATGAGTAATCTGTAACATCTGATCCATGAGATCTGATGTCAAAAGCAGAGATAAGATATTTCATATTTAGCAAATATAATCTATAACACTCCAGTAAGTATTCACGATTAAGCTTCAAAGCACAAAAACAAAGTTGAAATCTTGTATGTTAATTGAGCATTCTACAGTCAATATTTAATATGCTTAGTTTTGAGTCTTCAGAAAAGTCGAGTGATTTCCAAATTTCAGCAAAGTATGATCACAGTAATGCATACAGCTTAAATATATATTATTCAAATATAGGGTCGATCTTCTCAAAAAGAAGTTTACTATCCGTGATCTAATTTTTAAAATTTTAATTACCTAACAGAGCTTGCAATACCACAGAATAACATGTAACAAAAAGATAGATTTGAGAGCAACATTATTAGGTTACTTATCCAAAAGCTGATAAAGAATAAAAGACAAACCCTAAAGAGACAGAACATTTGTTAAGAAAGCAGTGAGTGTGAAGATTTTATACTTGAACTCATCAAATAGGGTCTGCCCTACTAAAGTCTAGCACTGATCCAACTGACTAACAACAATACTGATATCCATCACGTGCAGCAAAAGAACAAATTAAAATTTTCCACTACCCTTGTCTCATTTTTCAAATAAGAAAATAACTACAAGAAATAAACACAAAATCTCCTAAACTTTAAAAACAATGCCAGCAATGAAGAGGACAAGGATTCTGATTCTGAATTGAGTAGGTGTTTTTTTGCAGGTATTTAATTGCAACGTCCATACAATTAAGTCCTTAAGAGGGTAAAAAAAAATAACTGCTGAAGATGTATAGCATGTTGGTCAATGTCTGAAAAGTGGGAGAAAATATTTTGGATACAATTAGCATTTAAGTAAAAACAAAAAACAGAAAATGTTGGAGAAACTCAACAGGTCTGGCAGCATCTGTGGAGAGAAAATTGAGTTAATGTTTTGAGTCTAATGACTCTTCATCAGAACTGAAAGCAGCTGGGTATGTCTATGACAGGGGAGAGGTGGACTTAGTTGGCAGGGCGAGGAGATGAATCGATGGAGATGGTGCCCAGAGAGAGGAAAAAGGGAAACTGACAAAGGGACAGTTCATAGTAAGGCAGGAAAGGAGTAAAGACTTAGTACATGATAACAGGAATTGTGAATAGTTAAAAATGGATTGGCTGTGCTCAGAGCAACCCATACAAGAGAGGATCTGGGGTTGTGGGAGTAGGAAACAAAGGGAGGGAGATGTTCACTTACTGAAATTGCTAAACTCAATGTTGAGACCTGAGTGCTGTAAGGTACCTAAGTGAAGATGAGGTGTCCCTCCAGCTTTTAAATAGCACTAATAATAACGGACCCTCTCCAAAGGTGTTTCAAAAAGGCACAATAGGATAAAAATGTTGCCATTGAGACAAAGGAGATGACATTAGGAGCCTTAAAAGGGCAGAGGGATCTAAGTTAGTGAGGCATAGGGAGGGAATTGTAGACAGCTGAAGTCCTATCAATAGTTGGGTGAAGGATGTAAAGGGATCAACAAGGCCCAAGATTTGGAGGAATTCAAAGTTCTTGGATTGTAACACATAGCTGTCCAAGGCTGCATAGATAGACAAAATCTAAGCCAAGGACAGACATGAAGATTTGAACTTTTTTCAGAACCCAGGAGCCAGGGCAAGTCAGCAAGAATGGGGTAAAGAGTGAGCAGGATTTGTTGCAGGTTAGGATATTTTTGATTTAGCAAACTTTTTTGGTGAGTTTAAGTTTATTGAGGGTAGAAAATGAGAAGCTGGCTAGAATAGCTCTGGAATGGGCCAGACTGCAATTAACAAAATCATGGATGTGGGTTTCAGCACTGATATATTGAAGCAGTGTCAGAGAGGGGTTACATTAGTGATGGATTTAGACACACTCTGTGATGGAGAGGAGATGGGGGTCAAAAGCCTGCTCAGGTTCAGACAAGATTGCAAATAATCTGGTTCAGCTTGAGACAGTGGCTAGAGAGGAAAATGGAACTGGTACCAAAGCAATGGAGGCTTTGCTGTTGGACCAAAGACTGTCTCTCCAGTTTTCCAATGCTTCTTGCAAGAAAATTTCAGATTATTCACGACTGGATGGTGGACAGGCAATCTGATAACACAGACATGTTGTTAAGTTACAGTTGGGTATCGTAGCTGATTTTAGCTTTGAAAATTTCAATGCCACAGCCACAACCATGAGGGAAAGCTCTTCCTGTTTTCCTTATTTATAGGGAAAAGCACTTCCTGTTTTCACTCCTGAATGGCTGAACTCTAAATTTAAGATTATGCCCTCTTATTCTGGACTCTTTTACCAACAGAAGTTGTTTCTCTCGAGATACCACATTGAAACTTTTTTTAAAATCAGTTTAAGCACCAGAAACAAATCATCCTCAAACTTCTCAATTAAAGGCATTTACTTAACCCATCTCCATAATCTAACATTTTAAGCCCCAGTATCGTCATCATGAATCTATTCCAGACCTGTTCCCAGTCTAATAATATTTTCCTAAAACTGGATGTTATACACCAGAAGAGCTATGACCAAAACTCTACATAAATGAAGAATAGGTTATTTTCATATATAGTAGGAACTGCAGATGCTGCAGAATCTGAGATAACAGATTTTCTGAAGAAGGCTCTAGGCCCGAAACGTCAGCCTTCCTGCTCCTCTGATGCTGCTTGGCCTGCTATTTTCATATAAACTTGGTCCCATTGAGGTAAAGGCCAGCATATGAATTTTGTAAAAAAATACTTTTTTGCACTTATACACTGCATTTTATGCATTGGACGCTCAAATCTTCTTCTCCACAGTTCCTAGTTTCTCGCCGTTAAGAAAATATTCTGATTTGTCTTTTTTGGAACCAAAATGGATGATCTTTATATATTGAATTTCATCTATTAGTTTTGCCCAGTCATTGATTTTGTCTTTGTAACTTCTTGCTCTCATCTACTCAACTTACTGTCTCTCCTAACTTAGTGCCATACGTACACTTGTTGCTTCTTCATTCAAGTCACTGATCTATATGATGAAAAGTTGATGCTCAGTACCGACCACTTGTTACATTGCACAAATAAGTGTATTCCCTTTATCCCTTCTGTCATGCCCCAATGAAGTATTAAAAAATGTCATAAAGGTTACCTCCAATTCTGTATGCTTTATTTTAGTTAGTAAGATAAGTTTGTCAAGCAGACGATACTGATTATGCATGAAAATATTTGAAATGTTGCTTTACAAAGAAATACGGAGACATGTGATCATTCTCCTGAGTGATGGAGATGTGTATGAGCTGCATGTGCACAGAAGGAGACAACTGGTGCTAGAGAACTAGAAATTGCCAGAGAACTAGAATGGTTAAAACAAATGAAAGTGTCACAAGTGTCACAAGTGTCACAGCTGCACACAGAGACTGGTCAGGTCAGAAAAGAATAGAGTCAAAATAAAATATGGCTTGGTGGGATAGAAATTTTTATCTCCACCATATTATAAAATGAGTGATCAAAATGATTGCATTACTTCATAAGTTAATATTTATGATATATTTAAGTTATATATTTAAGTTAATAAGATATGTCATATAACACTTAAAAATAATAGTTACATTGGAGACATGTACTTTCGAGAAACATTAGCACAATTCTGTTAAAGTATAAGTGCATTTGAAATTTCACTTGAAAGTACCATAGGTCAGGGCATACAAGTTGACTTGGTGTACAAAACAACCAATTTTTCAGTGCTAAAATGGATGTTCAGGGACTAAACTCTGTATGCAGGTCACATATCCCATTTTTCAGCTAACGAATGTATGCTAAGAGCCATACAACCTTAGGAGTTGCCCTCAATTTTTCAGCTCAGAGATACACGTTTCAGGTTATAGATCAAGACGTAGTACTAAGCAAGCAACATAAGCTGTTCTATCAAGAAAATGTGCAGGAGTTTAAAACATGCAAACATGGCAACCAACAAAGAGAAATGGATCTTTCTGCATCAACATCAACAGTTCACATTTTATACTCCTATTTTTGGAAGGATTTTTCAAAGCTTCAGAGGTTAACTTATATGCCATGATCCATGGATTTCTCTCCCTCATCAAAGCAGACTGATAAAATTGAAATATGACTTTAAAAATAAAAATTAAACAAGTTAATGTACAGCACCAAAAAGGCAGCGGGGCAAACTTAAACTGATTACTCTATTAACTGCACTGAAAACATTTCTAGGCACTTAAGAAGAAACTATAGGAAAAGTGTTAGAAGAAAGAAATTTACCATTCTGAAACACTTGAGCAGAGAGTTCATAAAATGGAAAGATCCAGAATATCCAAGAAAGAAGCTTTGTTGCATGAAGATGCTTCATTAGTATGCACAGCCATATGTTCCCCAGCATGTCACTGATCAGAGCAGTAAGCTAAATTAAAAGACTATTAGGATGCCGCTGATCTCACGCAGCAAAGTAATTTAAAGAAGACCTGAAGCAGGATTGGTACTAAAGCAGTTAGGGCTTTGATAATAAAACTAACAAACCCTTTAAGCATTTTCTCCTCTTTCATGCCCTCGGCCTGCTCCAGTTCCTTTGCATCAGTCATGAACTCTTTGCCCATTTTCATTCTCTCCCATTCTTCTTTTCTTGTTCTGACTTTTCTCACATTAACTTGGTGGTTTCTGTTTGAATTCAACTTATGTTTCTCTCGCTGGAGGAGAAATCATACCAATATAGGAAATAAACATGAAACCAGCAGCAGTTGCTTAAACAATGTTCTTCAGGAAGCCTCCCAGCTCAGCTTAAGGACACAACTGAACAAAAACAATAATATGGGTAACAGTCTTAGAAAATGCAAAGTCTCGGCCACTGCTTAAAATGCAGATTTTAAAAGTTGAGAAGTTGACCAAGTTGAAGTTCATAATATGCCATAATTATGAATATCAACAAATAAAACAGCGATTAGTAACCATTTTGAAATGGTTGAACTGCCTTAAATGATTATGACTGATTACAGTATCACAGATTATTAAATATATGT